TCACACAACAGTAGTTAATGTGTTATTCGAAAGCTTATTATAAATGGAATATACAAACATAATAATCTAGTCACTTGGTAACTATGCGACAAAATTATAATTATTAATAATTTGGAAAAACCAGTTCTAATTTTTATAATCTTCATTTTAAATTGAATTAGATCGAATGACATTAAAAATAGTTAGATCAATTGATATTCAACTGTTAACTTATAGATTCAATCGAAATTCTCATTTAGTCTGACTTAGAACACAAAGTGTTATCCGTAGCTCTGATGCGAAAAGTACACGAGTTTGTGCTTAGTATTATTTTGTTTATTTTAAAAAAACTGACTGACTCCTAAATTTTACTACAATGTAGTTTAAAACAATTAGTCCCTTTGATAAATTTCGATAATGCAATGAGAAAACGAAGTTTATCAGAATTATGTGATATATTTGCGCAATATATTTCGAACAATCTGATCACACATATACTTGTTAAGAACATTTATATATGAAAGTTAAAAGGTCAACTAGACAGGTTAAGGGTAAGTCATAACAAAGGAAAAAATATTAAAGTACACAAAAACAAATGTGATTACCACTCTAGACAGTAAATCAGTACTACCAGGGTAGGTTAAGTGTAAGTACAAATTGTTTTTGAACACATAAAGGGGGTTTCAATTTTCGTATAGCCAAGGCTTCAATAAACCTCAGTATACGTCCTTGAAGGCTTTTGTACAACACAACAAATGCTGATTTGATGTCAACCTTATGACCCGTCTCAATCAAATGTTTCGCTATGTAGTTGTTTTTAAATACAATGTCATTATGATGGAGTGAAGTGTTCGAACACTTCACTTCTACCTGAAGTTTCTGCTGATGATGTCGTTCAGAAGAACGATGAAAGCTCCACGACCAAACCATCCAGCTTAGAAAACAAAGCTCCATCAAAATCATCCACCTGAGCTACAAATCTTCACCACACAATGTCATTATCTGTACTATGTACACTGACTAAAATAGTAATTTATAGCAGAACAATCTTCTACTCGGTAAAAATACATATTTGAATAGTGGTTGAAATGATTTTTTTTCCGGTTAGCATTTTTTTAGCAAGGTTGTTTCCCACGGGATCTGTTTACTATATTCATTCCCAACCCTTCGTTATCTGGGCTTGTTAGCGACAGCAACTTTAGAATGAATTCAAACGAAATGTGAATGGACAACGAATAAATGAAGCATAAAAATTGTTGAATTCATATTATTTTGAATAGAATAAATTAAATCTTTAAGAATTTTCACTCTCTTTGCTTTACAACCTTCTCAAAGAAGCTGATCTAATTAAATATTACGCAAAAAATAAATAACTATTCAACATATACTATTAGCCTCACATAAATGATACCGTGAAGTATCATAGTGGGAAATAAGATGATTAACTCATCGTAAGATTATATCTTTTTGAAAAGTTAAACGTTGAAATAAAGACGATATCTATAATAATAAGTAGAAATTCTAACAAGGTGAAAATATAGAAAATAATAAATGGTAAATTATACTTTCAAGAATTCTAAACAATTGAAATATTTCAAAATGAATTTCAAGATTTCTTTCAACAATCTAATATAAACTGCTTCAATAAAGTATATAGACGTTACAAAACAACTATTTATACTAATATCAGAATGGTTTTTTGTGTGGATATTATAGTAATTTCAATAGTTGAGATCATGAGTCAATCGAAGCTAGACCATCATGGAAAATCTGGAAACATTGGACATACTGTTGTGGGACTCCTCAGCAGTGTGAATCCACGATCCCATCTCGTGAGATTCGAACCCAGGACCTATCAATCTCGTGCACGAGCGCTTAATCACTAAACCACTGAGCTGGCCAGCATTCAACGGCGTTGATATCTAACTTCAACTAATCCACGAAATCGAGTGACACATCCACAAATATTCAATCTTTTTAAAACTTCCTAAAACGAAATTTCAAATTTATTTCTTCTTTTTTTCAATTTCGGTAGATTTTTCACAGATTTTAATTTCCTTAAATAAGAGTAAGATATATATATATATATATTTGTAGATACCCCAATGAGTAGAAAAACTAGATTTTCTAGCGTTTCGTGACTCAGTGTAAGCCACTTCTTCAGAGAATCAATGAATAACCAAATCAAAACTAATCCAAGTTGCCTTGTCAACGTTTTTTATACATTCGACTTTTAACTATGATATGAAACATTGAACTAAAGATCGTATAAAATAAAAATTTTAAAAAAAAATCCAATTTGGTGATTTAAACAAACAATGTTGTCAAGGCTTAAAAAGCATATAATGTGAATCTGAAATCTTAACTTCAGAGGATCATTTTAAATGTATAATTTCATAAATTACAATTAGGAAATCTATATCTTCGTGTACAAATGTTAATCCAATCATCAATGGTTTCTTAGATTAGTGCCATAAATCGATTTTTTGTATTACTTACCCCCCTTTTAACCAGTATAACAGATATTTCAAAATAAAAAAATACTCTTATTATTATTGTTTTTCATGTAGCTATTCATGTGTTTTCACTGTTTTTAACATCTATGTTACTGCTCCTCGTACTATTGCTTGTAGTAGTAGTAGTAGTGGTGGTGGTGGTGGTGGTATCGCTACTATAATTCAGTTTAAGACACATTTATAGAACAACTCTTGACATATATATATGTAATAGTTAATTTGTAATCTCGATAAGAAACGTGTGAATAAAGTGTTTTACATATATACTACGGAATTACAAACGTATAGAAATGTAAAACACAGTAGTTAAATTAGCAGTAATAATAGTAATACACTTTTTGTATCCAATAAAACACCATTTACAGTGTGAGATTTTTTTCTAAACTCTTATGAATTGACTTTTATCTGTGAGATATTCAATGATAGATGGTTTATACTTAGTGTCGTTAAACATGGTTAAATATAAATAATAGACGGGATGTTTGTGTGTGTATGTGTGTGTGTGTGGCGTTTTAACTTTGACATCCATTGTTGGAATAATAAAACAAATAGGTAGATATATTCTTTTTGATTAGAATCTTCAACAGAATCCTATTCACTAATTAGACATCCTGCGTGATATGTTACGAAACCAGTCACAGTAATATGGCTTTGTTCATTGTGTTTTTCTTTCTTTCTTTAGCCCTCAAATTTTAATATTACTTTGAAGTCTTGATTTGTTTTCCCTTTTCCAAGTTTCTATGTATAATCTTTTTTTCTAATTGAAGAGAGGGTTTGAATATGAACAAAATACTTTCAAGTCGTGTTAAAGTTATGAGGTTAGTTGTTACTTCTCATTTAGCCATATTATGGAAAACTGCTATTCTGAAGCATGCCAACTTGGGTTGATATATATTTACCTCCGGTTCTTCTATAATTCCATTAGTGAGTTGTTGGAGATGCTATATCTCCAGAAATCACTTGGTAAACTTTTCAATTCCGTTATTTAATTATGGAATTTCGGATTTCTCATTTTCGCGTCAAAAGTGCCCGTTTTTACCTTCAGTTCGTGTTTCCCACCTGGAAGGACATTTTTGTATTGCATATGAGTTGTGTGTTTGTTGTTTGTTCTTCCAGGTTGTTTGTGGGACTATATATTTTTCCGGCTGACTTTCGTTCCGTTCGTCAGTCCTAGGTGATATTTGAATCCTTCAAATATATATATTCGCTTATTCGCATTTTTGTCAATTGAAATTAAATATCTTTGTTTCAATCCAATTAGAATTCATGGTTGCCTACTACTGACTACATTTAAAGTTGAAGGAACAACTCATCTCTACTGTCTTGTTCCCTCTACCCAATGGATGTTTAGTTGGGTTTTTTTTTACCACATAATGTTCAAAGATATTTACAGTTTCATTGTGATGAATTGTGTCATTTGACCTTTTAACGGTATCAGTTATCAGTCTGCACTTTGATATGACTCTTCGATTTGACAATCGATTTGTACTAACAAATTATTTATAATTCATTCCTCGTTATTGATTTATTTTATAAACAATCTACGGGCTGCAAGTAAAATTACATGGTTGATGAGCATAATAATTTATAATTGACACTTATGTGCTAATTTATATATCATTGATTGTGTTGGTTAAGATATGTAATACATGCATCCCTACCTACCTCTTACTTCGATGCACCATGTCTATTAGTGTTGAAGTAGGTCATGAGGAATCTAAGGTGTGTCATTAGTTCATGGAGACACTAACTATTAGTCAAAAATATGTTGGCAGATCCTAACTAATTGGTTAGGGTCCGCTCAATTATCTCAATAGTTGAAAATTTTGGATGATATGATTCAGAATCGGTCACAATAGCGCAGATCCATTCTTTTTTTATCACTCCTTAAATCTTGAGTTTTAAATTTATATTGTGCTGTGTTATTCGGAGAATTCGTTCTTTCCTAACAAACCATATTGTGTGTGTGTGTGTGTGATGTTTCCTGCTATCCCTAATTCTATCTCTAGTTCTACTGTTCTGGGATTTATCTTAATGATTTTATGTCTTTGTACTGATGTTATGTTCCGAATTGAATCGATACAGGTATGCGCTAGCTTGTAGATCGCTTATAACTCATTGTTTGAATTCAATTACAGATTAAATTTATCTAAAGAAACGCTAAGAACTTGACACTATAATACACTTTGGTTTTGTAACCCCCTCAGTAATACATACAATTGAGGCATTCAGTATTTTTTTTAAAAAAATACTTGATAATTTGAAAGTCTAATAGTTCACATTTCTAATTATCAAATAGATTCATGACAAAAGGTTCCTTGTGAAATAGTAGAACAAAAGTTTATTGTTGTTGTTGTCACTATCGGACGAGAATATCGTTGAACAATCAAAATAACGCAGCTTATTGATTTTATTGTTAATATTTATTCACTATTTATCATTTAATCAATTTTTATTATTCATTATTATTTCTTTTTTTATCTTTCCCTTTATTTTTTTTTCTAGTTATTCGCATTACTATTTGCTATACTTTTATGTTGTTCAGTAAAACAACGAAATGAGGTCGAATATACTGAAGTACAGGTGAATGTTTAAAAGTGATAGAGAGAAGAGAAAAAAAAGAGAAACACTAAATAATTCTTGTACGAGAGGGATGATTAAACAAACTAACAAACAAAAATCAGACCAATATTCATTCATTCATCCATCTATCTATCTGTTAGCCTCTTTTTTTCTTATGATTATCAACATCATCATCATTATCATATCTTATTAGCATTTTTCATTGTTGTATTCCCTTCTCTTCCTCTCTTTCCTTTCTTTGAAGCATATTTCAATAGAATTACTGTGATTTATAGTTCATTTCAAATGAAATGAATCTTCAAACAATACAGCTAAACAAAATATTTGACTGAAACTCCATTTGGTTTCTCTTGTTTAAATAATGAACATGGTATTGGTGATGATGATGATTATAATAGTAACAATAATATATAGTGAATTAAATTTTGATCTACATCAGTAGTGAATATTTTCTCAAATTAATTTTAAAAATTTCTGTTGTCCTCTTCTTTGTATTCTTAGTTGTGTTTTTTTTGTGTGGATTCATTCTGTTCAATGAACATCAAGATCATCTGTATATGTATTCATACACTTACACACACACACATACACACTTTCATTCTATGGATTACATATTTCATGGGTTTTTTTGTTCTTGTTGTTGAAAAAAATACCCATAAATTAGTCTTAGTGTTGATACATTCCGATTAACACTAACGTCATATTTGTTCATTATTTTAGTGTTTCGTTAATAATGTTCTATACTTTTTCTTCGTTTGGATACTCCTTTTATCTTTTTTTCTTTTATTTTCTTTCCTCTAGTAAAAATCATTTGGAATTCTTTATTTCCTAAGAAATTAACTTTGTAAATTATTTGAACATAGTACCAACTCTTTTTTTTTCTTCTTTTCAATGAGTGTCCTACCAAAATGGGAATGATTGTGAATGATGAACAATGTGAAAATATACAATTGTAAGCGCCACCACTATTAATTGTACTAGTAGTAGCAGTAGTATTAGTAGTAGTAGTACAAACAATATTGCGATATTTTATTCTTTTATTCTGCAAATTCAACATTGAAATACAACTCAATGCATAATAATGATGAGTATTATCATTACTATGATGATTGTTATTTGTTTTATTCTTCCTCTGTGTTATGATATTTTGATTTACTTTTCTGTATTTATGTATAGTATCGGTTATTTCTAATAAACAAAGTTTTTTTTTTAAAAAAAATCATTGTTTCCATGATTCTTTTCTTCTTTCCACATATTCATCTTTCTTTATGTATCATTATTAAACTGGGTATTATGGACGCGCATGTATGTATGTATGTATGTAGGCAGGTAGGATATGTGTATAAGATGCAATGAAAGTGAACATTTTCCCTTTTCTATTCTTTATTCCTTTAAACATTAAATAGAAATGCATTTCTCTTCTATATTAATGTATCATTATTAGTTTTTTTCTTATTCAATGTACAATAATAATGATTATCATTTTTAGTTTTGTGAATTAGAAAAAAAGGGATTTCTTCTCTCTTTCTCTCTCTCTCTTTTTTTTTTCCTCTAAATTGTTGTTTGCCATACTTTTTATGAAGTAATTGAATTGCTCATCTTTCTTCTTTTCCTTAACTAAAAGTTGGGATCTTTTTACTTACTTACTTATTAGTTATTTTCCATTGTCTTATGAACCCATGTTAAACAAATGAATCAACATAGAAATCTTAATCTTTTCATTGATAATTAATTCAAACATTGTGCAATAAAATCTTAATTTGAATATCTAGAATAAATATTGCTCATTTATGTATTAAACTTAAAGTTTATTAACATTTGAAATAATTAAAAAATTAACTTTTAAACAGGGTTGATCAAAAGACATTGTTTATTTCAATCAATATTTCTTATTGTATATGAGATGACTACTAAACTATCTATTTAAGTAGTATATCTATATATATTCTCATTGTGTACACATCATTGTTTAGTGGTTATTTTATTGTTCTCAAATTTTAGTATTATCACTACTGTTATCATGAATACTATGATTTATCATTATCATAGTGAATTGTGCTTGTTTTTTTTACAGAATGAAGACTTGTTTACATATACACGTTTCTTACTAATTTCCTTTTTTAGTACTGATACTTACTTACGCCCGTTACTCCTCGTGAAGGAGCATAAGCCGCCCATCAGCATTCTCCATCCAACCCTGTCCTGGGCAATCCTTCCAGTTCCTATTTATCCTTTTCATATCTGCTTCTATTTCCCGACGTAATGTGTTCTTTGGCCTTACTCTTTTCCGTTTCCCCTCAGGATTCCAAGTTAGGGCTTACCTCGTGATGATTTCCGTAATGTATGTCCTATCCATTCCCATCGTCTTTCCCTATTTTCCTCTTCATCTGGAACCTGTTTTTTTCTCTCCCAGAGAAGGCTGCTGCTGATGGTATCCGGCAAGTGGGTGTTGAGTATCTTGTGTAGACAACTATTTGTGAATACTTGCACCTTCTTGATGGTGGTTGTTGTAGTTCTCCACGTTTCAGCTCCGTACAGTAGAACTGACTGTCTTGACGTTCGTATTGAAGATTGTGACTTTGATATTGGTTGGCAGACAGTTGTTTTGAGTTCCATATGTACTTCAATTGTAGGAATGCGACCCTTGCTTTACCAATCCTCGCCTTTACGTCTGCATCTGAGCCTCCTTGTTCATCGATGATGCTTCCCAGGTATGTGAAGGATTCTACATCTTCCAGAGTTTCGCCATCAAGAGTGATTGGATTGCTGTTCTTCGTTTTGAATTTAAGGACCTTGATTTTCTCCTTGTGTATACTGAGGTCTACTGATTCAGAGACTGCTGCTACACTGGCTGTCTCCATCTGCATTTATTCGTGTGTACGCGATAGGAGGGCTAGGTCATCTGCGAAGTCAAAATCGTCTAATTGATTCTGAGCTGTCCATTGTATGCCGCGTTTTCTCTCACAATTCGAGGTCTTCGTAATCCAGTCGACCACCAGAAGAAATGGGAAGGGAGAGAGTAGACAGCCTTGTCTGACTCCGGTCCTTACTTGGAATGCGTCTTTCAGCTGTCCTCCATGCTCGACCTTGCACTGTAGTCCGTCGTATGAGTTCCGGATAATATTGACAATCTTCCCAGGAACTCCGTAGTGTCGAAGAATTTTCTATAACGTTCTCCTATCTACACTATCAAATCCATTCGTCAGGTTCTAGAACACAGGCATACTTATCTACGTCCGACAGTAGTGGTCTTTCTTGACTTAAAGGGAGTATTTGACTCTGTAGACCGCGAGATTCCATGGCAGTGTCTGTCATTGAAAGGCGTACCTCAGAAGTACATAAACGTTGTAAAGGCTCTTTACTCGAACACTACTAGTCGAGTTAGAGCTTATGGCGAACGGTCATCTACTTTTGCAACCTCAAGTGGTGTCCGTCAAGACTGTCCACTTTCTCCATTTTTGTTTAACTTCATCATAGACCTACTGATGGAAATAACATTCTCGTCGACCGAACTCTCGGGTATTGATCTCCTTCCAGAAGGTCCACATATGGACTTAGAATACGCAGATGACATGTTACTGTTTGGTGAAGACGCTGATAAAATGCAGAGTCTTTTGGTAGCACCAAGCAACAATGCCAGAATGTTTGGAATGCGCTTCTCTCCCTCTGAATGCAAGTTTTTGCTTCAGGACTGGTCTGCACCAGCACCCGAACTAAGGGTAGGGAGTGAAGTAGTCGAGTGTGTTGACAACTTCACTTATCTTTTAAGTCTGATCAGCCCCAGTGTGTTGGTGTCTGACGAAATATCAGCACGGATTCGAGAAGCTCGTTTGGCTTTCGCCAACTTACGTCACCTATGGCGTAGGCGAGATATCCGTCTATCAATAAAAGGACGAGTATACTGCTCGGCAGTCCGTTCTGTTTTAATTTACGGCAGCGAAACATGGCCATTAAGAGTAGACGATACTCGTAAGCTACTAGTATTTGATCACAGATGTATTAGAAATATTGCTGGGATCACCGGGTAAGTAATGGTGAGGTTAGACACTGGGTATGAGGGAATGATGGTAAATCAGTTGATGAGGTTATGAATCTTCATCGACTGAGATGGTTGAACCACGTGCTACGTATGCTTGAACATCGATTAGCACGACGTGCAATGCTAACCGGTGTAGGAGATGGTTGGAAGAAAGTTAGTGGCGGCCAAACCGAAACGTGGAATCAGTTCTCGAAGTCACCAACTTCTAGTCTGAGCCATATTGGTAGATGCAGACTACTTGATTGGAGTCCACGCGACTTTCGTAACCAATGGTTGGAGACTGTGTGTGACATGGCTCAAAATCGATCACAATGGCGTTGGTGTATACACTCTGTGTCTTCCCTTAAACTTTGAGATTAATACCGCTTCATATCTGTCTTTCTATGAACTAACTCTTTCTTTCTCTACTATGTCCTTATATGCAATCTTTCTTTCATATATTACCACCTCTGAATTAACTACTTTTATGAATCCGGTGTTCATCTTGTTGTGTTAATGAGGTATGGCTACTTGGACCGATGCATATGTGTGCCTGATCCTACGTTGTAGCTGACTGACATGATCTAGCATAGTGGTTTAATTATCTATTATCGTAAACTAGTGTGCTCATTCTTATCATCCAACATACTTTTCGTGTCTAAATCGTATTATGTTATGTCGATTAATTTCAGTTCTTTATCATTTGTCCATTACAGTTTAGATAGTTGTCATTATCATGATTGTCTGGTACTTAGTGTAGATCGAATTGTATCGATCAAGTTAAAATACAGCCTGTAGTCTAAGTGACTTGAAGTCACGTGGATTGCGCCTTGATGTTGGGTGATGGTCTGTAGTCAAAAGGAAATACTTAACATAGGGTTTGCGCTAGTGAACTGTGGTCAGATGTAACTTCGGTATCGAAATGACTGATGACACCTGTAGGAACTTAACCTACGTCACCCACCTTACATTGGGGAATGATACCGTAAAACATGACAATAGACGAGAGGAATGTATAATTATTGTGACAAGTCACAAAGCATTTACATAATGCATATACATAGCCTTCAATCATCATTTACATATTCTGTTATGTTCTGCAATCCAAACTGTTTTCTCGACTGACCTCCAGTCAGTCAGTCAGTCAGTAACAACGTAGAACTTCGTACGTACGTACATTAGTTCGAGTTGCCACACC